AAAAAAAAAAAAATTAAATAAACCAAAACAAAGCAAAGCTTTTCTGACAAGTCTGCCAAAAGCACCTGAGTCACCTGCAATCTCCCAGTGGCCCAAGTTGGGCCAATTTGAGCAGCAAAACAAATAGATTGAATCATCATCCAAAACATAAAGGAAAGGCCAGCTCAGGCGACAGAGCTGTGGAGAGTTGTGCTGCCAGCCTGCGGTGTTTGAATCCACCAGCAAACAGTCCCCCAGGAGGAAAACGGGCAATCTCTTCCCATGCAAGTTCAGCCTCGGAAAACTCAGTGATCACCTGTGAGCTGGTTCCGGTCAGACAGCAATGACAGAGAGTACATGCCTAGTGGTATAAAGAAATGGCTGGATAAAATAGCGCACAAGGGGAGAGGAGCGAAGTCTCCGTCCCACAAGATTCTGAGTGAAGGCGAGTCTCTGTTTGAAGAACACAGATGCCACATTCCTGATGGCACATTCCTCTTTATAAAAGACCAGCCTCCAGGATGAACTGTACTAAATACAGACTGAAAAGGTTTGGATAAAGGATACATCCGCGATGCACTCCTTTCTTGATTTCAAACCATCTTTTTCAAAGCTTCCTAGATCATTCAATATCTTGACCATAGCTTCCTTAAGTGCTACAGCTTAGTTCCTTCAGCTTTAGAAATGCTGAGAGAGTTCTTGCCTTTTGATTTTCTGACTCCAGCTCTTTGCTCGTTCATGAGAATACTTTGCTTTGTCTCCCTGAGCTGGGCTTTGAAATCTTCTGTTCAATTCTTTACTTCACAATTGTTTCCCTTTGTACTGGCATCTCAGTGTTCTATTGTAATATTCAGTCTCTTCTGACATCCATCTCAGTCTTTTCTTTCTTTGTAATAACCTTTTGCGTTCTTCATAGGTGATATTCTTAACATCATCCCACAGATCATCTGGTTGCCATTCATTAGTGTTCAAGGCCACAAATCTGTCCGTGAGGTGGTTTTTAAATTCAGGTGCGATAGAGTCAAGGTCATATTTTGGTTCTTATGGATTTGTTTTCATTTTCTTTAGCTTCAGTTTGAACTTGCACATGAGTAGTTGATGGTCTGCTCCATAGTCAGCACCTGGCCTAGTTTTCACAGCTGATATTGAACTTTTCCAGTGACTCTTTACATGGACATAATCAATCTGATTCCGGTGTTGTCCATCAGGTAAGGTCACCAGTGTATAGTCACCAGTTGTGTATTTTTTTTT